TGGCCGCGAGTCTGCAGCTCCTGCAGCACAGGCAGAGGAGGGTTCAGCGGGGTAAGCACATCTTCTGTCATTCAGGTTTGAAATGATGAAAAATGATGAAATTATGAAAAATGATGAAATTATGAAAAAGATGTCATGGCTTGCAGAAAACTCCCTCGTACACTTCTGATCAGTCCTCTTACCTGATGGTTTCCAAAACTGATCTGAAGGGCACCCATCCCTCTGCTCATCAAATCTGCACCCAGCATTTCTGTTAAAGCTGAGAAGGACACCCCCAGGGAAATCAAAGGAAAGGGACAGAATCAAAGCAGATTTACATGCAGAAAAAGGGCCAAGGATGCAAAAGGACTAAAATCTGAATCACATGTACATTTAGGTTCCATTTATAGACAGCTTGGTTAATGATCCCATTAGGCAATCACTAGGACTAATGAATTGTTAGGCAATGCTTAAGAAACAGTTGCAGATGATAGCATCTCACAAGCTGCTTGTAATCCTAATATTTCATATGTGCTTGTTGTCCTTACAGCACTGATAGTGCTTGTAATGACTCTAATCTAACATAGTAATCTTTACAAATTAATGATCAATATACTCCTAAGGATATAACATACAGCAGAACTGAAAATGGAATTTAGTTTCCTCCTTGGCTTCTTATTTCTTATTTTCCTATCAGACTGCCAGCACAGAGAGCAACACCGCTGCATTTCAGCACAGCTGCCTTTAAAGGTTCTGTGAAACACACGGGCACCGGGGGCCCGGAGTGTGACGTTCCCCGAATTGGGAAATGATGGCAAGAAAATCTCTAATGATTTGTCTGCTCACCCCCACCAGGGAGTCGCCCCTCTCTGATCCCAGAGAGCTGGCTGAAGGCTGCCGAGCCCACTTTCTGCACCTGGCTGAGTGATTGACCAGCAACTCGACGGGGTCGTGGCAGCTTTATTCCCTTTGTTGCGCGGGTGTCTGCCATGGAGAGCCAAGCTTGGATTAACCCAGCCTAAATCCCTGGGCAGCTCGCCAGAGCAACGCTAGCTCTGAAGCGAGCGCAGCTCCAAGATGGTTTCAAGCCTGGCTTTATAGATCAGTTCTTAGGCAGAGAGCATAATGCCTCACGCCAACCCCCGGGAAAGCCTCTCCCCAGAGGCAGCAGTTGTCAGCCCGTGTGGGAGCGATGAGAAGTCGGACAATGCCATTCCTTTCGGACCAGCCCTTCCCTGGCAGCGCTCCCTCCCCAGCCATGGGGACATTTTTTCAGCGGGCACCACGTCGTATGACAATAATGCGCACGGACGCATTTCATAATCCGCCTCTCCAGCACCTGCGCTTCCTTTGTTGCGGTGCCAAGCATTTTGTTGTGTTAGCTTTTAGGTCACTGTCACTGGGAGCAATATAAGGAAAACGTTATCTTCCAGCATCTTTCACTAGCTGATCCAAAGGCAAGGTACTCCAAGCCTTGCAGGAGCCACCAGCGCCCAAGAACGTGTCTTCTGCAAGTCTCCTCCTTGCACCAGGAGTTACAGGTTGTCTTCTGCTCCAAAGTGGGGGGTTACATCCCTTCCAGACCTCTGGGTTTGGTGGGGGAGAGAGGACTTTTAGCCTAGTTCCTGTGGAAAGAAGGTTAACGCACTCACGCTGTGTTTGTTTTGCCTCTCCCTAATAACTTTTGAACCCGTCGACCTTGTTCAACTCAACTTGACAGAAGGGTAGAGGTCTATGAAATAATTAAGTTCTAAGTTTTGTGAAAATAGGCACCGAGGTAAAAGAGAGGGGGCCCGGTCTTAACGTCCTCGCTGAGGAAAGGCTGAGTGTGAATGCACATCTTGTTGGGCATCAGAGAAACAGAACACAAACCCGCTCCACATTGCAACCGCAAAAAAAACCACTTCAGCTGCAATTTGCACTCCTTAGACATGTCTCTTGAATCTCAGCACAGCCCCTACCCAGGAGCCCGGGCTTTTGCTAATCTCCTAAACTCCTCCCTTGCACACATCCCCCTCCTCCTCCCATGAATCTTTCTTTTTGCAGACTTGCACGGTCGTCTCCCTCTGCTGGGGACTGAGCCAGGCTGAGCTTCCCCCACCACCTGCAGCAGGGGAGCCCCACGTTTCTCCTCCTCTCCTGGTCACTGCCTTCCTACCCTCCCTGTCTGCCACAGCACCCAGACCTTGGTAGCCTCCAGAAGCCAAGCCAGCTCACAGTTTTCAGATGACTTTTTTTGTAGCTGACCTCTACTTTTTTGGGCAGGGATGGGTGCCCAGGCTTACACCAGCCTTGAAACACAAACTGCTGTTGAGCTTCTCTAAGAGACTCCTTTCTGCAGCCTTATTTTAACACAATTTATAAAAATGAGGTAGAAAACTCTAAAGTCAAGGCTTAGTCTGCCTTACAGTTTCCTTTACTCCCCTTCAAACTATTTAGAAACATTTCCTACACACATAAAAACCATTCTGGACAGTTTGGATGAACCACCAACCCCCAGCAGATAAGGTTTTCGCAGAAACACACACCCACCGTGTGCTGGCTACTGCAGGCTGGGCCAGCGCTGATCTGTTCGGCTCATCTTCCTGCTGCTTCCGTTCCACAAGGCTCTGCGAAAGAAAGATGCTGATGTACCTACTTCCAGGAGAAGTTGTTGAGGTATGAAGCCCCACCAGGCAAGATACATCCAGCCCAGTCCTCCGAGCAGAGAGGTCAGACCTGTCTCCGGTGAGCACTCGGGGATGGCCAGCTCCAGGCAGCTGCAGGCAAGGCTGGATGGCTCATTTTATGGATCATCTACCAAATAGAAAAGGTAGGTGTGATCCTGGGAACAAACAGGGAGGAATGGACGCATTTTCTGGGTAACACAACGCACCTCGAAACGCACAGACTGGCTGCTTTCAGCAAGGGCTACAAGACACACCTTTCTCCCCAAGGCCACCCCAGCTCACTGAGTCCTGTTTTTCTTTGATTTCTCTATAAGAATTAGCAGAAGGTTTCCAGTCCTACATTGCAAACAAGGCATGTGTACACTGTACAGTGGGCTAAGAGGAAAAAAAGAAAAGAAAAGCCAACAGCTTTCCTGTGTGTATAAGGTGTCTGGATCTTAGAATAACCAAAAGACATGGCACTCTTGTCCTGTATTTTATTAGGAAATTGACAGGCAGATTGATAACCTGAAATTACATCGTCAATCTCATTTAAAAAAATGTTCAAAATCATGACAATAATTTTGATTTCTATAAAACATAATGCCCAAATACAATTCCTGTTTAAGCCTGTAAATTTCTATACCTTTAACATTTATCTGCCATACAGTGGCGAGGCTGGATAATTGTAACAGAACCCATGAAGTTAAATACAGTGTATTTTTCTCTGCAGTCCAACTGGAAGAGATGAAATGTTGACAAGAAAGCCCAGGATACGAGCAGCACTATGAGAAGGCTCCCTGCAATCTCAGTTCATGACACATCAGTATTTCACTCTGCTCAAAGATATCAAAGCCTGGGGACGTTAACTGCTGTGCAAAGCTCTGAGGCTTTAGGGCATCAGTTTTCCAGGCGAGGAGAGGGACCACTGCAGGGAACAGGGTGCACTGGATGTGTGCGATGCTCAAAGTGCCAGAGCTGATAAATCTATCTCCATCTCCCTCTTTTGCTAGTGGTATGAGCTACCACCACCACCACAAGGGGCTAAATCACTTTCCTGTCCCTGTCAGCGTTAAAGGTACTCCAGGTTCAATGCAGGGCTGTGATGGTACAGGTGCTGGCTATCTGCAAGGGTTGAGTCTCAACCTCGGTCATCCAAGCCCAAACCCTGCTCACCGTGTGTACGTGAAAAACCACACCGAGCCAGACTCTGCTGCCTTCACTGCAGCTGCCGTGTGCGGTGATGTGATTCAGCTCCGGGGGTCGGAGCTGAGGCCCTCAGTCCTCTAAAGGAGAGCTGGCACTTTTCAGTACCGAATGACTCTTGTGGGGAGTTGAATTTCTCAAGACATTACTCAGGAAACTATTCAAATTGTCATTTATGCTGTCTGGATGAGAGATGCTCTCCTGAACCGGGGCCTCGATTCCTGCGAGGATTATGGATGCTCAGCAAGCGGCCAGCTCGAGCACTTGACCAGCAAGTCCAGTCACTTCAGCCTCTTGTACTATTCTTGGCGGATGTAAGCTAAAACCCAGGAGATTTAAGAAGTAGTGGGCCTTCTTTTTAAAAAGCTATTTCAGGACAAGTACATTCAGACCACTGTGTTTTCTATTTATATATAAATTCTTTGGCAACAATTTTCTAGAAAGCAGAATCATTTTTTTCTATGTAATATTTTATTGACTCCCCATGAAAAACTGATATCTTAAAAAAATGTATAGCGCTTTCCACTATAAATAGTATTGTTCCAGATTAAGGATTAGTTCCTCCCTGAAGAAAAACAGATTTAAAAAAACCTGGTCATTATCTGATAGCTGTTTATGTAGCAACATTAAAATAAAACAGAAAAAGAAAATCATTCAGTATGTGGTTTGTCATTCTCTAGAATGTTAGTGTACGTTTACACAATAAAAACAACATAAGTTATCCTAGTTTGTTTTAAAAACCTTAGTAGTAGAAATATATTGCTATCTGCAGATTCATAAACAGAATGCACTTTCTCCATCTAAGTTCAAGTATTATTAGAATATTATTATTACTATTATTATTATTAAAGGAGCTCTAAATCCTTGCCATTTTGCCTGTCTTAACATCGTTTGGGTCTTTCTGAGAAAGAACCAGTTGTGATCATTTGTTCGTGAACAAAATCAACGTGGAGCTTCAGCAAGTTTTTTCCTGGTAGAAGGCAGCCTGGCAACCCTTCGGGCTGTTATGAGCGGCTTTAGAAGAGGATATTTGAGACTAGTGGTATAGATAACAGTAGTCACATCTTTTCTTGGATGGCTGATGAACTTAATTCCTTCCAGGTTCTCATCATTCAGTCCCATTTAAAGGAGGAAGGTGGGAAGAACCCAACCCAGCTGTATACCACATCAGGATATATCATCTTCGTCTCTTCTCGGTACTGTCAGTTGCTCGTAGGTCGGCAGGGCGTTATTCGGGTGGAACGGATCTGAATTGATGTTGTTGCCTCTCTGAGACGATCTGTTGTTCCCTTGATCCCCATGGTGACGGGAAACCAGATGATGCAGCATATCTGTGATGAGGTTCAGCTTCTGGTCCATTTGTGTGACCTGTGAAGGGAAAGGGAAGGGTTGTTTAGTAGCAGCATGTGAGAAAATGGCAGCAAACCATGGGATGGAAATGCAATATTAAAATGACATTTTTCTTACTTAGGATCGCAGCAACCTCCACAAAGACTCCACAGATTCATAGCCCATCAAACAGAGCATTAGAAATTTAATGCCATAGGTCAGAGTTGGATGAGGACAGGCCTGTTAATACTTGCCTTTGGTATGTCCTTTGACACTCATTTTATTTTTTTAAAGAGATGTGCTGGGATAGAGAAGTAAGTTCCAGAACTGAGTTTCTGCATTTTTTTGTTATTATTATGTTCATATTTTTTCAAAAACACGATAAACTTCTAACACGCTTATATACATTAATAATATCAATAGGGTCCAATAAATCCCTGCTCTACTCACAGTGATCTCATCGCCCCCAAGCTGGGACTGACTGGTGCTCTGTCTTATGTTTTTGGCCCAGTTACCAGCCCAGGCCACTAAATGCCCCCCAGATATTTTTGCTGATGCAAGTGTATAGCAGCGGGGGTCTGCGGCAAGGGCTGGGAGCGGGGCACGATCCAGTTCTGTGCTCTCACTCCCCAGTGCTCACTAGGACGGCTGTTTGAATGACATGATTCACAGCAAACCAGCAACTCTTCAAAGAGGAGTGAAAGCTCATTTTCCAACTGGGGGGCTGCAGGGGAAGGTTCAGCCTGAAGCCATAATGCTCATTTTCTCCTGCCTTTAGACAGAAGTCCCTTACATCATTTAATACCTTGTTTTTGGTTTTTCTGCTCTTTCTTCTTATCTTTAGGAGAAGCACAATGAAAAATCAGGATACTTAATAGAGACTTGGTTATGGGTTTGTCCAAAATTTAGACTCTATTGGATGTACACTTGTGGCACTCAGAGGAAAATCAAGAATGAAATGTTGCTAGGAACACCACAGATTCAGTCTCCAGTTTCTTTCATTTTCCTACCAAGAAGTAACCTGTCCCATCCCTTTTATCTGGCATGGGAAGCCTCCTCTCAGTCCTGCCTGATGTTCTGAGGGGAAGATGGGCACTTCCAGCCTCAAAGTCACAGCCACTCTCTGCCCCTGGGCATGGCAAACATTGAAGTTGGGCAGTAAGAGTCTTTCTTATGGCCTCCTACTCCCTTCTACAAGCCCAAAGAGAAAGCCACAATTTTGTCATGGTAGTCTCTGTCCCATCCATCCACAGGGATCCTAAACCACTATGGAAATTCTAGGCAAAAAAAGATGTAAGAGGTTTTAAAAAGGGAAAAGCAAGTAAGCAGAAAAAAAAAAAAAAAGTGGTAGGAATAAATTGCTGCCTAAAATATCTGCTAGAAAGTAGTGAAAGGCACATAAAACCGCCAGAGAGAGCATGAGTGGGAGCAATTTATATGTGCCTGGCTGCCATCCAAGTATCACACAGGATAGTAAAAGACAGTAAGGCTGAGCAGAACATCAACAAACCTGGAGGATTTCAGCAGAGACTAAAATGTTTTTCCACTGTAGAGAAAATGCTGGGTTTTTTTCAAACACTTTGTACAACTGGTAGGGAAGCAGATACAGTGATTTAAAAATATGAGGTGCCAGAGATTTATACTTTGCAGCTGGTTTTGAAAACATGAGGCAAAGCACCCTAGATGGTACATGAAACACTAGTAATTCTGGATGGAAATGGCTGTTGAAAGACGAGATTCTTCAAATGAGGAAGCTGAAGAACACGTAAGTTCAAGATTTCTAAAAGAAACAGAGATGGAAAATTGAGCAGATCATCAGGTTTTCATTTCATCGCTGTTTTGTTCACTCCCTTGCAAAAGGCACGCTTTGCCCAACCGGTGCCCATCACAGCTGGCAAACTCATGGTGCTGCAAGCGTGACAGTACAAATCAGCGCCAGCAAAGCCTGCAAAATATCTCCTTCCTCCATCCCCCACTGCCCGAGCATCACTCGCTTTCTGAGACAGCTGCGCTGGAAGGACTGCAGTGGAAGATCTCAAACAGCTATCCTCAGAGACTCAAGGACAACTTTTCCTCTAACAAGAAATGTCTTTTTGCTAATTATTCTAAACCAACTAGGGGATTTTTATATATCTATTTCTTAATTTGTGATTCCAGGCAGGGATTTCCAGGGGAAACATAGACTGAAGACGTATCTGGAAAATGTGCATTTACGAAGCTCTTGCCGTGATGAGCTATTGAACGTGACAGCAGATTGGACCGAGATCTGGATAGCCCTTCACGAGCTGTGCATCTTGGTGATGAAGTACTGGGGAGAAGTGAGATGTGAATATTCTTGCTGGGAATTAAATTCCCAGAGATAATTGTCTAATTTTTTTCTGGGAAACAAGGTTTGGCTGCTGCAGCTGTGGAGTGCAGGAGGCCCGCAGAAGCTGACCACTCTTGAGCTGAGCCCGTGGAGATAAAAAGGAAAGACCATCATCTTTCACGTTCCTGTTTATTGGGGTAGGGCTCTAAAGCCACAGAGCGTTTTTGGAGGGAGGTCCAGATGGCTGGTTATGTTTAATTGTTGTTTAATCAGTTTTGCTTTCCATGAAGTTCTGCACCCATGAAGGGCTTGCTCCAAGACACGCTGAAGTCAGCGGTGGTTTTTGGCAATCACAGACTTCCAGTGACTTCACCGAGCTCTGGATCAATCTTGGGTTGAGTTGTCAATCCCAAATAGTCACATATTCTCTGGATATTTCAAGAGAAGGAGCAGTCTGGATTTCTATCCATTGCTCTGCTCGTGCTTCTTGGGACTGGATCAGAAAAGATGACATTTGCAAATCAGACAGCAACGGGACGATGGGCCCCCAATCCTCGGTTCTGCCAAAGGGGTGTCTGCTTAAAGTGCGAGACATTTTCAAGAGAGAATTAAATGCCATCAGAAGGCAAATTCTACTGCCATCATAGGCCTCTGATGTACAGGAACAACAGCCGTGCCCGTGAACAGCCTTGCTGCCCAATCTGCCCGTCGTCATCCAAACACACATCCCGAAATACATCGTTCTTTTGTTTGCTGCAGAGACAATGATACCCACTGGAAAAATGTCATTGTGTGCAATACTCCTTTTATGAAACTAGCTTTGTGCACTTAGCATGGAGAAGTGTATCATCTTCCCTAAATCATACTCTCAAACACATTTACTTGATTAGAAATCAGCTACGATGCCAGAATGAATGAAAGTAAAGCAAACAGCAAAACTGCTGATGTTGCTATAATCCTAACTGCTTTGGACAACTCTGATCCCTCCACTTACAACAGCAAACAGTGTTAATTACGTAGAAAAATAACTTAGACTGATTTGTTTCTTTTAGGAAAAACTAAGTAAGCGCTTTCTAGCTGATTTATGTTTCATTAGAAGCATGATGTTTGGATGATCAAATTCTTTATATGCAAATAATTACCTTTGTATTTTATAGCTGGGGAGAGGAAGCAGTGTTTGGAACTTGTCAGAAATTACACACTACAGTTATTACTAAGTCTTACTGAAATTATTTTATGAAAACACGATTTTTCCATCCTCCAAGTTCATTTAAAAAAAAAAAATATCCAAGGACACACTACAGTTATTACTAAGTCTTACTGAAATTATTTTATGAAAACACGATTTTTCCATCCTCCAAGATAATTTTTTTTTTTTTTAAAAAAAGATCCAAGGATCATAGATTGAGCACAGATGGAGAGAAGCAGATTTAAACAAGTTCTGAACCTGAAGAGCTCTTAGGCATGAATGAAAAATCCCATCCCTGCAGTGCACTGAGAAAAAAACCAAACCCAAATAGTTCTTCACAAAGGCTGGAAGATTAGAGCACAAATCTTAAATGGCACATCACGAAGAAATGTGGCTACGTTACAGAACAGATTTTTGCTCTCCCTAAAAAGTCACAGAGGCAGATGACTACTCTGACACCCCACACAACAGGCTGGTGGCGATGATGTAGCTCTATGAACCACAAGGTCCTCTTGGGTCATGTTTTCAGGAGAAGCAGTCCTCTACAACTGCATATAAAGTGACACACCAACTTTTCTAAAGGTACCAAAGGCATTCCAGGAGGTGCTAGCGAACAAGACAGAGACTGTTCTTGTGATGAGAGGAGAGAACAAAATAACAAGCAATTTATCTATTGAAATTCTCTGGCTATTCATATTATATTCATTTGAAATGCCCTATAATTTTAAGCATTCACAACAAATTCATGGTATGATTCAGAACATAAACTCTAACAGTGAATTTTTTTCCTTTAAAAAAAAAAATCCAAAGAAGCCTGAGTGGCTCCAGGAACACCTGGAGGGGAGCCTCCTTCATGTACCCCTTTAATGGAGAATTACAGAGTGGCACCATGGAGACCTCCTCCCAAAGCTAATTATAGGGATTTGTTGGGAAGGGGAAAAGACAGGTGGTATTGTGGAGCTGAGGGGAATAGTATTTTTATTTATTCAGGACAGTAGGGAAGCCAAAGGACAAAATTAGGAGTTTGGCATAATTTAGGCCACAAAGACCACAAATTACTAATAAGTTATGCCAAGCTCTGCTCCATGATCTGGAGGGATCAAGGTTGATTAACGCTGTCGATTAAAGCTGTCTCATCTGCCCTTCATTCTCATTCTCAGAGGTTTCAAAAGTAAATATTATTAAGAGTAAAAATCATAGTCCCTTTGGACAGAATGGTGGTTTATTACCACTTATGTTCTTAACATGGTTGACTGATTAAACAAATAATTTGTGCTTAATCAAGATATTTTTTATCAGCACAGTGTTCACTCAATGGGTTCAGGGGGACCGTGCTTGTTCTTAAGAGGGAAAGCCGAGTGAAGCTGCTAAAGGAGAAGAGGAAAACCAGAATGCAAGATACACTTGGCTGAACAAAAATGTGGTAAAGGAGAATTTCAGCTACTTTTCCAACATTACGCTCCAAAGTCCGCTATCCTGACTTATCTTGGGTAGCATTAATTCCTGAGGATGCAGCTTTTAGCTCGAAGGGAACCAACTCTT